CGGCGGCCACTGATTGGCCTATTGTACCTGCCCCAGGTGATTATGATGATGGAGAATTTGGTGGAATGAAGATTGGCAGGGGAAACCGAAGTACTCGGAGAAAACCCGCCCCAGCGTCACTTTATCCACCACAAATCCTACTTGACCAGACCCGGGATCGAACCCGGGCCGCCGCGGTGGGAAGCCAGCGACTAACCGTTTGAGCTATGGCGTGGCCTAAAGCTGAACATAGATTTTTTGCAAACAGCATGTTGTTCACGTTCGACAAATATTTGACCCAGTTATAAATTTTGTATTTTTAGAATATCTATCTCGACACACAAATTTGAAGTCTTTGCATTAGGTGGCATAGTGTCGTTTCCACCACACAAATTCGCATCGCCGCCATATTATTATTGATAGTAGGAAATTTAGAAAGAATATACAGCTGAGGTGATCTCTAGTTGCATGACTTCCATACCTAATTTCATGGAAATATGTCGGCTGTTTCAGGTAGTACCGTGGTTGGGACTCAAATATTGTATCGTAGATCTATCTCCAGTAACAGATAACTTATGTATTTATCTTTGTGTAGTAAGGGAAGGGTGCCTATTATTGTATAGTCCCGTGATATGAGATATCTTGGCAGAAGAGATGTTGAAATCTTGTGGTGACTACGTGAACTGCTTCTTTGTAACCCTGAAGAAGATCGGTAAGCAACGAGACACCCAATGTTGGTTCGTTCACGGAGCAGTATATCATTTCTCTTCTTTGCGTACACAATAAGATAGAAGAGAAGTGGGTCAAATGCATGAGTGCTCTGGGCGCACAAGATTGGGGGGTTGAGGAAGTCTTCTTTGTGGGCTTTATATGCAGAAAAACATTAAAAGTATAGGTTATATGGTGAGGAGGGTAACTTTCTGATGTTAGGGTACATACATATTTATTTACGTGTTTGCATTTTTTTTTTGTATTCTTCTTCAGAGAGAAGGTAGAATGATTTAGTTACTATAAAAATTGTCCCATGATTTTATATCATAACTCCAGGTTGTGATTCCAGAGGTTATTTTGAGTGAACATATGATATCAACATTAAGTCCTGTTCTCGAAGATTTCGGTCATGTATTTTAAATATAGCGCATGCGCGTAACAGGCGGGTACGTATTTATGCACGCCAACGCACCATTGGCACGGAATCTAGCAGACAGTGCAGTCAGGTTGTGCTGTATTGTAACGGAAGTAACTGTGAACGTGCTGTTTACATTTACCATGACAGCATGACGAAGCACCCCCGCACTACAGTACGGACGTCATACGGTCTCGGAATGAACAGCTCTCTGTCCAACGGGTCGGCCGTGGAGATAAGCTGAATTGGCCACCACGTTCACCGGAGCTCAGCACCAAACGTTACCGTGCACGAGGTCACATGAGAAGCACGGAGTATGGACGTAAGGTGGACATAAGAGATTAATTATATCAGCGAATGTCCGATGCCACAGGACAGGTACAAACTGCAGCTCTACGTAAGGTTACGTCTTCCCCGGTGAAACGAACCAGGCTGTGCAACCAAGTGACCGCGGCCATTTGGAACAATTACTTTAAGCTACGTAAATTGTACAAGGTAATCATTTTATATTTTTCCTAACAAAGACGCGTTTATCGAATAACAAACTGCTTCAGATTAAGCTAGAGTTCAAATATTCATAGTTGGAAACCGATGAAAAAAGGACTCATGTTTATATAATGTTTAATGATCTCAAGAATCACCAACTGAAATTATGATATGAAATCGCTGCACACACTATATACTGTTTTAAGAGAGGTACAGCAAACCCTCCTACAGCACGGATATATTTAACATAGATTCGATTATACGCCTATAAATAAATTCAAATAATTATTTGCTTAACGTGGGAAATCCTCTTATATACTGTTTCTCACACAGGCCGTGGTAGCATACCAGGTTTATTCCGTACGTAACTGTACCAGCATTTTGACTGTACCAGATATTCCGTATTTAATCGGAATAGCTCGCTCAGTGTATCTGAATGACCGGGTTCGATTCCCGGTAGAAGCAATACATTTTCTCTTCCCCAGACATTCCATACCGACTCTGGAACCTATCTAACCTGCAATGCATTGGGCACCAGGGGCTTTATCGCCTGAGATAAAGCGACCGGAGCTTGAAGCTGACCATTCATCTCCATCTAGTACCGAGGTTAAGAATGTTGAAGTTAAGCCTTAATTCCCCTACATGCCTTCCTTTGATTGTGCTCAGTTTTATAATTTAGGGCATGGAATAACTTTACCATTTACCTTACCAAATATCCCGCTAATATTTTGTTTGAAGTCTAACTTTCCGCTGATGTTTTGTTTGGAGTCTAACTTTCCGCTGATGTTTTGTTTGGAGTCTAACTTTCCGCTGATGTTTTGTTTGGAGTCTAACTTTCCGCTGATGTTTAACTTTCCGTTGATGCTTTATTAACGTACACAGTTTGCCCTTAAATATGTAGTATATTTTTTCTTTTGACTTTCCACAGCCGTGTACCCATATCCCAATAAATCCCATACAATATTAAGTTCATATATATTCAGTGAATATACCGCTTTCGAGGACCAGATATCCTCGCGTTGTACAAGAGTTTGCTGTACTTCTTATTAGGAACATTTCTTTTGCATCTGTAAGGGTCTTAGATAACCGCATCTTAATTGTGCGTTCGGTTATATACTCAATGTCCGAAAGCATGCGCATGTGCTCGTATTGCAGCCGAAGTCCAATAATTCCAGGTGTCAAAGAGCACTTTCATTCATATTCAAGTTGTGTGTAGGCTCGGGTTAGGTCTGGGGCACGTCCCGCGAGAACACTTAATCGGTTTTAGCCCGAGATGAAAGACTGTCCCAAAAGCAATAACCTTGAAAAAGGTAGCAGAACTCATCTGCGCTGTAAGATCTTATATCCTCACGGCACATAAATTAATAGTAATGCATGATCTGTAATTCATTTGCGTATATAGATAGGAAAATCAAAGTCTTGTTTTCTGAGCAAATATTTCGCGTGACAGGGAGTGGAAATGGTCATAATTGTTGAATTCAGCTTCAGAGAAGACCCAGTGAATAGATATAACATGTTTAAAATTATTCTTCTTTGCTTCATTCTTTAAATTAATAGGAATTAATGATGACGTTATTGGATTTTTTTCAATTGACCTGATCTTTCCAACCGCACTATGATCCTGGGGTCGACTCAGCCTCTAAAAGAAATGAGTACCAGGAATCTTCCTGGGGGTAAAGGGAGGTCGGCGCGTAAGGCTGACAACCTCACCTCCATTTGTGAGCCGATTGTATATAAAATGTGAGAGCCTCAACGTCTCACAACCGTATGGGCCTCCACGGCCTATCACAAGGATATCTTTACTTTTTTTTTCTTTTTTTACTAGGTCAGCTTATCACCATCATTACAAAATAAACGGCATTGTTGTTTGCACAATAGAACATTGAGATTAGACAGTGGGAACAGCAATAGCTCAGTCGGTATAGCGACTGGCTACGGTATGGACGGCCTAGGTATCGGAATTCGAGTCGCTGTGGGGGCAAAATTTTTGACCACGCCGTATCGTTCAGACCGATTCTGGGGCCCAACCAGCCTCCTATCCAAGGGGTACCGGTTGCTCTCTCCCTGGGGGTAAAGCGACCGGGACGTGAAGCTGACCAGTTACCTCCAACTATCAATAGTACCAACACTAGCCTTTCAAATTGTTAGGGTAATACCGCTAATATTAGTTGAATGCCTCAACCAATCGTCGCAAGAATTGGTATCAGGCCACCTGAGCCCATATCAACAGCTTACTTAAGAAATTCCTGCCACTAGTAATACCAGCACTACAACCTCTCAAACTATCGGTGTAATAACCTTAATATTACATAAATGCCAGAACTAGTCTTCATGAAACTTGGTATGCATGTCATGCCGTCTGAGGCCATGTCAATTGTGTACCTCATAAATCGCTCTCATCAGTAATACCAACATTGAAACCTCCCAAATTGTATTACAGTACAAGCTCGGTAATCCGGCCGTGCGCTAGCCCGACACGTCCAGTAATCCGGCATCAGGCTTCAGGCAGGCTTCCGCGACCTTAAACATGTTTCTACAGGCAGTAGAGTGTGACTTATGTTCAGCAGAAACTGATTTATATAGACCCTCGCTAGTACACGGTGTTTAAGTTGTTCAGTACTGTTTATTCCTGTGCAGCACTTTTCATACAGCGGTGAATTTAATGTGTGCTGAAGATGTCCAGCTCTGACAACGTAAACATAAAACTTTAATTGCTAAAACTTAAATAATTAAGAAACTTGACAAAGGTGAAAATCTTGTTAATTTGGCTAAAGAGTACGGTGTTGGACGTGCTATGATATACGATATCAGGAAAAATAGAAGATCGAGAGTTTTGTGAAACATACCGACAGTTGCCCCAGTGACAGGAAGACTCTAAAATCTGGTGGGTACCTTGGACACCCAAGTGGAGAACAGTTAAAATCAAGAGATGGTTTGATAGAGGTAGTGTTCTTACCGCCAAACTGCACCCCACTTCTACAATCAATGGATCAGAATGTTATATAATTTGTGAAGTGACATTACAAAAGGACCTTCTGTGCAGTGTAATAAACCAAAATTATGATGATAGTCAATGTCTGAAACGACAAAACCTGAAAAACATAGTTCTTAACCTCGCATATGCATGGCAGAATGTGCCTCCTAAAATTAGAGTTTCTTCTTGGAAAAAAAATGTGGCCTTCACGTCCACTGTCCTCTGGTAGCAGTGAATTCACACGGCCAGAAGAATCGGAAGATATAGTACAGTCCTAACTTCTGATCTCCAAGAAGCAATAGCTGAACTGTGTGGAAGAAGGCTCATCAGGTCCAACAATTGCTGACATAAGTAACTGGTTAGCTGGGGGTGAGGAGGAAAATCTTCAAATCATGACAGATGAAAAGATAATCAACAATGTGCTAGAAGACAACAGCGAGAATGAGCAAGAGTCAAGTATTTCACCGGTTATGCACACAATACGACACGTTGACCACATGAGTGCCTTCAACACGTGTTATAAATTGGCCAAAGGAAACAACGTGCAACATCCTCACATTAAAAAGATTGCAAGAAGTTTGAAAAGATATTTAGAAATAAAAGACCGAACACTATTGTATTTTTTGTTTTGTAAAAACGCGGTGAAATGAAGCCCCAAATATTAAATTAATGAACAAAAATTTACAGTACATACGTATATATGTAAAATAAATAAAAGATAATAAATTCCGTTAAACTATAACGATTCTAAATCTTCTATGTTTTACAGTACAACTTAATAAATTTGTTCCGACTTTTTCCAGTAATCCGGGCGGTAACTTGGTCCCATATGTCGGATTACCAAGACTGTACGGACTTCATTACGCGTTCATAGAAAAGTTTTCTTTCTACTTGCCGTGTCAGATACTAAAGTAACAGTGAATGGAAAGTGGGCGATTAGTTCTTCCCAGAACTTCTTTTTTTGCTAATTAGATTATAAACTGCTTCACTCAGGTCAGATTTTCTTGGCGAATTTCGATTTTATAGGCGAAATGACTTGTACGTAAGCAAAAATTAATTTCTTGGTATAATTACTGTATTTTGTGCTCAGTAAACTTCCATCGAAATTTCAACGGACTTTTTATTA